TCCCATTTGGATCTGACACTCTCACTCCCTGGCTCTGTGTGTACAGTGGCGGCCTCTGCTGGCCACCGTTTCCCCGCTTGACCCCCTGTCACTTCTGCTAGCCTGTGAACTTCCCTCCTTTGCAGACCTGAGCTCTCTCAGTCCCTACCCCCTTTCCAGCTTGTCACACTCTGACTTCCCGAAGCTGCCTTCCACCCAGGGAAGATTTCCCACATTTCCTTCCCACTCCCCTTCCCCTTTCTCCTCTCTGCACCGTCCTCTCTCTCCTCCCCTGCCATTCTTCCTCTCCTAGCTGCTCCCCCACCCAATGTTTGTGGAGAGAACAGGATTAGAAAATTTAGCGGGTCCTCCCTGGCACTCTATGCAGCTTTGTACTTTTGTATCTGGTGCCCATTTGAGGGGAAGGAGGGGGGTCCTTGTTTCTGGACCACATGTGGGCACTTAGCTAATCCGGCAGTCTCCTGATGGACAGCAGCTGCAATGTCTTACAAACCTTCCCCAAACCTCCAGATGCCACACCTCTTGAGTCCCCATGGCCACTGATAAGAGAGCAGGGTACTTGGTGACCCAGGAAGAGAGTTAAACACAGCTCTGGGGTGTTGGTTAGGGTGGCTAAGATTCTGCCCAGGGGCTTCAGGTCCCACCCAGTGTGGTTCCCAGGAAAGAGATGCCCCCGACTCACCCATCTCTGAGCTGCTTCTAGAAGTGTGCACACACCCCTCTCCAGCTTGGGACTATCCGGCCAGCAAAGACATTCTCGGGATGGTTTGGTTCCCTCCTCCCTCTGTCCTCCTCCTTCCAATGAGCTCATCTGTCTGGGGCTCCCCATCCCCCTTTGCCTGAAAGGGTGTTTGGACAGAGCCTGGCAGAAACAAGGAAAGGAGGGATGGAGGGAGTGACTGCTTACCTGCCTATGCCCTGAGCCCCTAGGAAGTGGAGGCAGGTGAGTCCAAAGGGAGAACTCTCCTCCAGAGGGGAGCTTGGAGAGAGTTTAGCTTTCTACCAACTCACTGATGCCCCGGGAGCCCTGAACTGAGGTGGCCATGCGGCATCCTTTGCTGGACCGTTCAGCTCAGCCACGTGCCTGCGGGCTGGTTTGGTGCATGCTGTCTTGTTAACTCTCTCAGCACTGTCAAACTTCTGTAGATGCTGAGAGAGTGGCTGAGTGAGACAGCCACTCTGAGTCAAAGGAGGGGTGATTGGGGAGGGGCTGGAAGTAGACTCAGATACTCTAGGAAGAGGCTCCAGAGCACCGGTCCAGACAGCATCAGTCCAAGCCCCCATCCAAGTGGTAGAAGAACTTGTGGGCTTTTAACATTAATGCAGAGACTCTGGTGCTTGTAGCTGCACTGAGATAGGGGCCCTGCTTGCAAGTGGAGGGGGACCAGGTTAGGCAAGATGCAGAGGCAGCTCTTGGGAGGAAGCCAAGGCCTGAAGGGAGCCATAGGGGAGGGTGTAGGGCCAGCTCCCTGCAAAACCCACAGTCAGTGGCACTGTGCTTAAGTGCCTGCTGTTACCTGCAGTGTCCCGAGAAGAGTGTGCAAAGGCTTCTGGGGGAGACGGCAGGAGAGGCAGTAGGCAGTAGACAAGGGCAATAGAGGAGCCTGAGTGGAGGAGGTACCCTGCCAGGCTTCTGCAATTTAGAAAGAAAGCCTCTCAAGATAGACCTGGAGATCTCATCTTACCCCTGATTCCTTTCCTTGAGCTGAGGCCCACTTGCTGGGAACTAACAGAGATGGGGGTTTTCCATCCAGTGGCCAGGGTCACCTGTATAAGGTTGAACAAGTGATCATCTTCTGGGGTCAGAACCACCCTGAGGCCTCCATTACTGTGATCTGCCCCCCTCTTTTGGTGACTCCTTTAGATACGCCCCTGTTCCAGGAATAGGGCCTCTTTTCTCCTTAACTCTATTCTAGCCCCTCAAGAGGTCTTTCTGCTGAGTCAGTTGTCTAGTCTGATAGGATTTGGGGGGCTAACCTACCTGAATTCCCAAGGAAGCGCCTCCTTCCACTTAAGCCCTGGCTGTCTCTGCCAGCTTGAGAAATGGATGATTGTCTGACAGCTGTTTGGCTCTGGTCAGACCCATCTCAATGTCCTGAAAACTTCAAGGATTTTGAGCCAAGTCAGCCAGACCTGTGCGTGTCACCCATTCCCAGGAATCAGGATTGCCAGGGACACCACTGGGGCTGTGGCTCCAGGTACCCACCTCCCTGAACGGAGCTGTTTGCTTCATTTGCTCTCCTACAACTAGAGGCTTGTGACAGGAAAGAGGAGTGGATTTGCTTGGGCCTCCTTAGGAGTTTTCAAAGGGCAGGGAGAAGGAACAGGGACCTACTGCACCCTGTCCCTTGGCCTCCTTAGGAGAAACCTCTTGGCTCTGTTATTGCACTGGCTTTCTGAGGTGTCTGAGGGAAGTGTTCCATAATTGTGAAACCCTATCAGTCCACCACTGCTTAGTATTTCCTAAATCCTCATTTTGCCCCACTGGGGGTCCTGCTAGTGTTCAGAAAACAGTCAGGTGTGTGATGAGTAGAAGCCAAATGGCAGGGAGGCACTGATCCTGGATTTACCTATGGATTTTGTAGGTGACCTTGGCCCACACATACTCCTTCTCTGGCCCACATCTTCATGTGTGGGGGGGCGAGGCATGGTAGGGGCCCTCTCAGCTAAAGAATCCAGGGAACAGCAAGAGATCAGGGGATGTGGGGGGAGGGCACTCAGAGGAACCAGTCACCTTCCTCTGCCACCAGGGTCTAAAGATATCTCTGGAGTTCTGTCCCCCCTCCCTCCCTGTTTTCTGGGCAGGGGTCACTTTCTTTCCTTTGGCTCACTTCCTCTCACCTCAGCCTACTGCTCTGAGAAACATGACCCTGTTGTAAAAATAACATGGGCAGTGTGGATGCTTGGCCTTGTCTGCATAGTGGAAGGACCTCCTGGGGTAAGCAAAGGTCAAGCCTCTCCTGGACATGGCCTTACCTCTGGGGCCCCAGGCTTCTGTGAAGTCGGGTATGTTGTATGTTTACCCTGTGTGCCTAGCTCTCTGCCAAACATGTTAACATGTGTTTTATGTCTCTGGGTCTTTACATCCAGCTCCACTTCTAATGTTGGCAAGGCCTGTGGAGAGCTACAAGTGCAAAGGCACACGAGTCTAAAAGTAGGTTCTAAATCTGAATAATCAGCCAGGCAGGCGTGGTGGTGCACACCTTTAATCCCAGCACTCAGGAGGCAGTGGCAGGTTGACCTCTGAGTTTGGAGGCCACCTAGTCTACATGGCCACTTTACAGGGCTACACAGAGAAATCCTATCTCAAAACAAACAAACAAAACAACAACAAAAACCTAAAACTAAAACAACAAGAAACAAAACAGCAGAAACAACAACAAAAGATCAGGACAGCAAGTAATCTATCCTCTGCCTTTGCTTTTCTTTGATGATCTAGAGGATCAGGTCCAAAATGGGATTTTTCAAACTATTCCCTAGTTGTCTTGCGTCAGTGGCTGGTCCTGAATCAACAGGGACACTAGTACATACACAGGAATCACCCACTTGCTCATCAAGCTTATCCACACAGCCACCTGTAGACCACTTCTTGGTTCTATGGACACACTCCTCATTTCAGAGGGCAGACTGAAGAAGAGCCCAACTCAGACACCCTGAAGAGGAAGTTCCAGACCCCTGGATCCCCAGAACTGAGAGGTGCGTTCCCTATTGTGGTCCCCTGGACTCATGGGCCAGCATGAGGTCTTCTAAAGCTAGGAGCCTAGGGCTCTCCTCCCTGTTGCCCAGGGTTGAGGATGATGCTGCTTTGCATGACCTCAGGGGGTAAATACCATGGGGTCACTATCGGGCAGAGGAACAGAGACTTCTCCAGAAAGTTGTGTGCCTTGTTCGCAGTTCTTCAGCAGCAAATGCAGGCATAAGAACTGTTCAACTACCTTGACAAAGACGACGAGGCAGAAGAAAAACAGCAGGGTTCTCCTCGCAGACTTTAACAATCTGCATACAACCTCAAGGGTCTCTTATGGCGCTGAAGCCTACCAGGGACTCCAGTTTTGAAGATGGGTGGGGGGTATAGTGGTGTGACTGCAGCATGGAAGGAGGGTGTGTTTCTAAGGCTTAACTGGTATCCAGATAGCGAAGATTTGTCCTGGAGGTTTGGGTAATTGACTAGGGATCTTGAGGGGGCATCACTGGTGTTTGATTCCCCACACCCCTCCCCCCAGCCCCGCCCAGCATTGGGGGAAAGACACACTGTCTCCAAATATCCGTCACTAGTCCTCTAACATGCCCGGAGTCTGCAGAAATGGGTTGGTGGCCGGTTGCAGGGGCATATTGCAGGTGAAACTCAAGTTTCCCACGGCCTAAAAACCACCGGGAGCGGCGTGGCGGGAGGAGACGCTTGCGGGTCCAGGTCTGCACCCGGTCGTCCGCAGCGGGCAAGCCAGCACACGCCCACCGGCTGCGGCAGCGCCCGCTGCGGACGTCCTCCCTGCGGTCCCGGGAGAGGCAGCCGCTGCCCTTACTCGTGTTCTCCGAGCGGAACAAAACAGCCTTCCAACAAACCTAAAAGCTCCACCTCTACTCCCCCGTGAACTCTTCTCCTAATTGGCAGCTCGGCGCATGGGATGATGCGGGAGGCTGCGGGCCGGCCTTGCAGTG